ATAACATATTGTATGGAATATATGATCTATTTTGGTACGCATTCGATTTGTGAAGTGACGTAGTCATCTTGGGTATTAATTCATGACATGCGCAGTGTGCTGACTGTGTCAAGCCATTTTCGAATACACCGGGAAAATTGAAATTAATATCATCCATGGCATCGCATACTATATTCGTGCCTGTGTAAACTAAAAACTTGTATTACTTAGAAGCGGGGGTACATGAATTTATAATATAAGTGGCGGCTATTTTAAAATTAAATATGGACGTCATTAGAGTGACGAAAAAACATTGGTTTTCAGAATCACTGCATCACAAGCTATCAGAAAATCTCTAAAAATTACCAACAAAGACTGGAGTGTACAATAAAGGCATATCATGGGCATCTGACGAGACACGTAATTAGACTACTTGATGATGTCACCAGCTCAGTATAGGGAAGTGAGCCAGAGAAAAAAAAATACCTTAGAAAAAGTCTACCTTTCCTTCCAGAGTACCTGTAGAGAATACCTGTAATTTGGAAAACCCTTCACGGATTTCTAAGCATTGTCAGACACAGAGGTCAAAGCTGTGCATCCAGAGAAGCTAATATTAAGCTCGCAAATGGCCCAGTATGTTTTGGAACAGTCACAGAAAGGACAAGAAATAAAACTCCACGAACTGAATATTATTACAGCTCGTAAATGAGTGGAACCCAAAGATTTGAAATGTTTGAGCCAGGGTCAGAGACGCTCTCAGGCATGATGCAGAGACACTGTAGCAATAAAAGAATGAATGCATTTCATGTCATTACCAAGCAATCCACCACATACATTCCAGAGTTACCAACCTCGGAAAAGAACAGAGTTAAATTTTCTTTTAACTTGGTGATTACAATATCTATTTATCTATCTAGCTTCACTTTATTTGAAAGATGACAGTGTGTGTTTCTGTTAGACGACACAGATGATGGATGATGTCATGCAATTGAATGCGTCCCTTCAACTGAAACCTTTTATAGAAGATCAATAAGCTGACTGCATTTGTGATTTGCAAAACTGGATAAAAAAAACTAAATCTCGATAAAACAGATACTATATGTTTAGACATGATTACAGTTTATTATATTTTTGGGTGGAGGCAACATTGAATATGAAAATACAGTCTAAAACTCAACAGGACCTTAACCCACCGTGAGGGCGCTTTCACGGCTATATTAAATTACCAAAACGAGATTTCCTGACGTGACTGTATATTCAACAAGTAACTTGTTGAATCTTGATCTGTATATTTATATAAGAAACCCCAAACACAGGAGATGGGAATCTGTCGCACTCATTTTCACACTGAAACTCTTTTCAGCAAAAAGTGGTTTAACCTGGTAACATGTAGATATGGGATAGTATAGTTGGATTTTTATATTTTTTGTTGATATTAGCAACAAATAAAACCCCAAAAATATATATATTTTTAGGTGAATGTGATTTTTATAGTACACTGCTGGCACTCACCACCTCTACATACATTTACAATGCACTGCTGGAACTCGCCACCTCCCATGTCATTTAAATATCCTTGCTGGCACTCGTCACTTTGAGCAACATGTATGGTAACTTGCTAGAATTCTCCGCCGACATTTACCTCTATCAACATTTACAGTATCTTGCTAGCACTATCGGCATTCACAGTATATTGCTGGCTCTTGCCACCTCCCATGTCATTTGAGGGACCTTGCTCTCCACCTCGAGCAGCATTTACAGTACCTTGATGGAACTCGTCACCTCATGCAAAATTAACAGTACCACTTTCCACAACATTTAAGGGATCTTGCTGGCACTTGTAACCTCCAGCAACATGTATGGTAGCTTTTTTGCACTTGCTATCTCCACAGATATTTATGGCACATTGCTAGCACTCTCAAGGAACATTTACAGTATCTTGCTGGCACTTGCCACCTCCAGCAACATTCACAGTACCTTGCTGGCACTCGTCACCTCCAGCAACATTCACAGTACCTTGTTGGCACTCGCCACTTCCAGCAACATTTGCAGTACCTTGCTGGCACTCGCCATTTCCAGCAACATTTGCAGTACCTTGCTGGCACTCGCCACCTCCAGCAACATTTACAGTACCTTGCTGGCACTCGCCACTTCCAGCAACATTTGCAGTACCTTGCTGGCACTCGCCACCTCCAGCAACATTTGCAGTACCTTGCTGGCACTCGCCACCTCCAGCAACATTTGCAGTACCTTGCTGGCACTCGCCACTTCCAGCAACATTTGCAGTACCTTGTTGGCACTCGCCACCTCCAGCAACATTTGCAGTACCTTGCTGGCACTCTCCATCTCCAGTGACATGTACAGTACCTTGCTGACCCTTCCAACCTTCTGTGACATAATCATCAGTGTTTCAATAGATGTTTAAAATCACTTTAATTGTTTTAGTATTATATGTACTGCTAAAGAAGTGAAGATGCTGTACGACTATTTCATTGAACACTATATTTTATTGCACACAGAAACAATTGTCCTAATAAATGAGACATCTCAGTCACAGTACATAAGTTCCTGGCTAAGATTCATCATTGTATTCAGTTCCACGTGATTTGATTTGATTTTTTTATTTTTACAGCTGTACATCAGAATGTTCTCAAGTTCAATCAAGTTGTTTAGGTTCTAGAATTTGGGTTTTTTTCCTATCATGTCAGGATCATTCTGCCAATCATAACCCTTTCTCGTGACATCATGGAGTGAGTGTTTCTCATCTGCAAGAACAATATATTCACATGGTGTTAGAATAATAACCATTGAATGTTAATTGTTGTGACTGCAGTACATGTTTGCTTTGATTTGACATAATATTTTCCAAGCAGTTTATTCGATATTATTTACAGAGTTTCTAATGGTCCACTCGTTAAGTTTACATGAAAGTTTTCGTTATTTGCTTTAATGAATCTTAAAAACTTCCGATCCACAGCTCCGCCATTCATTGGATATTGGACTGAAACTAAAATGCTAGTCATCACATCATAAAAAAACACCACAATGATTACTTCATCAGTGCAATCTTACAAAACGCATTCATACAGTAACCAGCAAAAATTTGGTAAATCCAGTCAAATCAAAATGGCACTGTGTACAATATCATCACTTCAATCAAGGTTACAGCAAGTCTAAAAAATATTGAGGCATCAATATGCATACTAGCGAATTTGCTAAATGCTTGGGTTTTGTAACGCTGGACAGGACACGTGATAATAGAGCGTTGTGTCAGCAGTGTTTTTACACGTGATGTTTACATTATACCATGACCACGATCCTGACTCGACCTGACCTAGATCTGTTGGTGCCTGGTACAACAAAACCAAAACTATTCTGAAAAATCACGAGTCAATTACTACTGGGCATGCGTAGAACGCTTTTTAGTCACTGGAGTCAGCATTACACTGACGAGGAGATACAGCTAGTACATGTTTCCCAGCGATTTAAACACAAACTTTAGTCGTTGTATATATTGCCATCCATAATGTTAGCTGCATAAAATAACATCCCCATAAGTAGCAGATGGTGTCTGCCATCTAGGGACGGTTTTCAGAACAACTACTATATAATTTCCGAAATGCAGAAATTATATATATAACTTGGCAACGATGATTCTAAACCATGTGTCCCGCCCTCATCCACTTGTCGCCAGGCAACCAAACACAAACAGGCTATCAGACCAATATTTCGGATCCGAAGTGGGCGAAGGGGGAGCATAAATTTGTCCTCACTGTATAAAAGGCACACACAGTCCAGAGAACAGTCCTCTCAATCCAAATCAAGGGCAATGGATAAGTATTGTGTCGAACCAGCTCTAACCGTACCCACAAACACGCTAGCACAAATAATGAGACCTTAATAATTCTGAACAATAAACGGTATATTATCAAACAACGAGCAGTCATACAATACAAGATCAGTAAACTGCAAAACATCAGCAGCAACATTAATCATAAATCACAGCTACTACTACACAGTTGTGTCTGAAACAGCACTCAATGCACAAAAATATCTCTACAGTTCAGTGAAACAAGTAATCAAATGTCTCTTTCCAAATGCCACTGTACAAACTATCAGCCAGCACTATACCACGCTCTGCACCAGTACAGTCTCTACCAAGTGCGTGCAACTCCTTTAATATTATGGCAATAGTCTTAATGACGTCACAACACTTACTAATCGCAATAACACGCAACGAAACAGAAAAATAACATTTCACAAGTTTAACAAAAAGTCAATTTGTGAAAGCTTATACACATCAAACCAAATCAGTGGAAACCAGCAACCATGTTGTTGACATATTTTCCGTTCAACTTGAGCAAGTGTCCAAAATGCGCGCACTGGCGAACACAATTTTGGCGGCAAACAAACCACAAATCAAAAATGTAATGCTTGCACTCAAGATCCGACACGGACAATATCTCAGCACAACAACATTGAAACAATAATTAACCCAGGGAAACCAAAACAGGAGCGGTGGGGAAATAACCCAGGGAGAGAGTGATTTCGAGCTCGCTAATAAACGGTCATTACATTGCATCCAACTCGTCGTCGACCTGAGTATCACTACAGTTTATTATCGTGACAGATGTAATACTCGGTTATGGCGAAGTCGGCCTATCACACATGAATCAGACGGTTTACCTCGGAGTCTTCTTTCGATTTACTCGCTTACCAGCAAATCCCACGCCGTCTTGATCACTCGTCGATGTCCCAAGCTTACCGCACAACAGCAGGCAACCGATCGGGGTTACAACGTCAGCCTCGTGGTTTGTAGGAGCGCAACGTCTTTCAATCATGGAAAGTTCGTTTCACAGGATCCAAGACTCCCTCAGCCTCACAGCTGACCCCAGCGGCGACTCGGATGATTCCCCTTCTCTGCTACAAGTGTTCAGTCAGGAATCAATGCCGTTATTCGCCTGATTTAGATGAATCTTCACCCCGCTCACTTTAACAAAGTTCAGATTTTCTGGCCATTTTGCTGGGGTGTTATAGAAAACGACCATGGAAAACGAAGACCCTGGAAAACGAAGACCATGGAAAACGAAGACCATGGAAAACGAAGACCCTGGAATGTTCCTATGACGCCAATGATACACGAATTCGCCCAATATCGGGCATTTACTTTCATTGTGAACTAACTTCCCGTACGAAATTCTTCATAATAAATTAAACTAACTATTTTTAATTGTGAAATTACAACGTATGGAAAACGAAGACCCTGGAAAACGAAGACTCTGGAAAACGAAGACCCTGGAAAACGAAGACCCTGGAAAACGAAGACCATGGAAAACGAAGACCCTGGAAAACGAAGACCATGGAAAACGAAGACCCTGGAAAACGAAGATCCTGGAAAACGAAGACCATGGAAAAAGAAGACCATGGAAAACGAAGACCCTGGAATGTTCCTATGACGCAAATGATACACGAATTCGCCCAATATCGGGCATTTACTTTCATTGTGAACTAAGGGTCTTAGGTCTTCGTTTTCCAGGGTCTTCGTTTTCCATACACCCCATTTTGCTGTCCTGTTTCCAGCGCGTTCCTTCAACCAATCCGACAACTCGTCTCTCCAGGACAAAGGTCGGTCACTCTCAATTAGCATAAAAAACTCCAAATTTAGGAAAGACATCCCCAACCCGTGTCTCGCTCCTGTACACGGTGAATTTCAACAGTCTAAAATAAGCCACATACCATGGCATCGGGCAAACACCATGGAAACCAGTTTCCACACAAATACTAATCCAAAAAGTGATCCACACTCGGTCAATAAACCGGTAATCACTTAAATACTGCATAATAGTACACTCAGTTACCTAGTCAACGCTAATACTACGTGTGACACATGTTCCTCCTGTCAAAAGCTCCAGTTGGCATTCATGCAATGATTTCACCAAAAAACATTTACATTAAAAGCCTTCGCTGTAGGTATACACTGGGAATCTGCTTATGAGCAAATAAAAACAGTATTTACGGCACTGTTATGTAACAATGATTATTTTTCATCTCTGCACTCAAATCTAACCAGGTTTTCAATAACATATCAACCAGCGCTAAAGCAATTATTATAAATTTGATATATAATCAGTAGTATGATATTCATATTCACAAATTGTAAAAATGGGCGGGTTTCCGGCCTCCTAAGACTGAAAAACAAAGGTTTACTGGAGCTGTCCATGGAAGTATTGCCATGATAGACATTGTGACGCCTTGTTTTATAGTCAGAATGGGGGGGGGGGGTTAACGTTAACATTACCTGAACTAAAAGTAATATATATGTATATATAAATAGGATGGGGTTGGGCATATAATAATCTGTTTCATGATTCATTCAACACAGCGGTTAGCACGGACCACGTGTTATTTTCCCAAACGCAGTCTCAGAACGGATTAGTGTCATCAGTAGGATAGCACAGTCTGTAGCCAATACGTGCTGTTTCTATGTCACTCACAGATAGGTTCTACCAGGATACACATTGCAAATTTAGAGGTTAGTAAGTTGCTATATATATTCATGGATTTATAGTTGACTGTTTTATATATACATTTATATTGATAAATAAATTTATATTGATATCGCCAGTTTGTGTTACTTACTGTAAGATAAGCAGTATGTGGGACTGATATTTATTATGGATGTACTAAATTATTATTATCTGTTAACGTTCTAAATCCCGGTAGTTTATACGCCATTTGTAGATTAGCAGGACTAGCCGTACTATAACGTGTGACCATATGATATAAGTGAGTTCATTTATTCCTTCGGGAGATGACTATTCGGCCACACGGGAAACATTGCCGTCTGTGACCATACACATTGAATAATAAACTGCTATCAATTACGGTAGTTGTTTTCATATAGCCTCAATGTCAATGTAATTACACTTCAATGATGGTAGTGGCTCTGGTTGATTGTAATGAATAGTCACTGGTTCAAACTAGCCAACTGCGTATAGCGCTTAGCCAGCTCGCCTATGACGTGTTTAGAGCGTGTCAAACTAAAACAGACGGTCGATGTAGAAAGAATTAAATAACATGAGTTATTATTGTTTGTACTGACCAACTTGGCTTGAACGCGATTTGCATCTTAGGTAGTCCGCCAGATATAGTTAGTGTCGTATGCAGCGACGCCCATAATGCGGTGATTATATAGCCAAAACATAAATTTTCACCACAACCGTTGAAGGGATTAAACAGTACTTCATTTACATGGCAGGACTGTGATGAAGATATCAAAGTGGATTAATTGTAAAGGACTATGGCTGGTTGTTGTTGGCTGGTGTTTAGGACAACTCACATGTCAGAAGGTAATCGCCGTCTATATTGATCTGTGTGTTTGGTACCTTGTATTGTCTTACACCGTTTTCGATTATATCAAAGCAGACCACAGTGAGTGTAACGAACAATTGCTGCTTATTCACACAAATTGCGTTTTTTTTTATATACACACTTGTATTTTACCTTTGAAGAATCCCTACACTTAACAAATCTTGAGATCTACGCTCGAGATAGCGAGAGTATTATTTGCACTGGCAATTAACGTTTTTTTCAATTTATTTCTTAATTGATGGAGTGTATACAATGAAATGTTTATTCACCACAACTGGTAATATGTTGTTCACATAAGTACGAACAGTCAAAATAATGAACAGCAAAGAGTGCCAGTATTATACCTGAAAAAGTTAAGAAAATGTTTGACAGTTTATAGACTTTTTTCGGTACTGGTTACTAGCTATTGGGAAAACGACAATTAATATATGTACTTGAATTATTAGTGTCTTCATCAGTATAAATTATAGGTTTGCCAAGTAAACTATCCACTATCAGGTGACAACATAGGTTAACCAAGTCTGTACACTATCAGGTGACAACATAGGTTAACCAAGTCTGTACACTATCAGGTGACAACATAGGTTAACCAAGTAAACTGTACACTATCAAAATACTATGAAGGTTGTAGTGTTTAATTAATTATGCCACTTTAACAATGCAAAATTTCTCGTACTTATCTAGGTTCTACCTTTCCTTCTCGTGTAAATTATTTACACACTTTCCCTTACATCACTACGTCTGTAAATCATATATTAACTGTTAAATATATCACACCTGCAAAATATAACCAAAATTATATTGGTATATTTAACAATAATATACAATAATCCAACAGTATGGTCCGAACAATCACATTGAAATTACCCACTGATTTCATATCAAGCGTAATTTTAACCTCATCTAAAGCGTGCCAATAGCAAAATTTGAATACATTTTCGAACATCAATACAATCATTTTTTTGAAATCGCTTTAACACACAGTAAAACAAAATTTACTCAATATATTATGGGCAGCATTCTATGCAATCTGGCTCAAGGTGTTAAATAAGTCATTGTCACACACACAACTGAATGAATTATATGTCAATTGTTTGAAATGTTTTAACAATATTAACATTCAATAATAATGATACACAAGTTTTTCACACCGAGCAAATAATTGAGATATAAAATGAAATATAATCATCAATTTTTCCCACAACATACACAGAGAATTTGGTATCCCATCCCAATAATGAAGATTTTAACAAATGAATCCCCTGGTGGGCAGCACACCATACATCGCACTTTGAAGTAACAATGTTTAGAAGAAGTAAAAACGTTCCAATACCTCAGTTCAACGCTAAAAGAAGATGTTACTTAACATGAAATTACGAAGAGGCTTGCGATTGCCATAAACCAGCTTGCAAAACTGGACAAAATTTGGAAATCAAGCTCAATAAATACTTCAATAAAAATCAAATTGCTTAAAGGGGAACCGATACTATAAATAAGGGTCACGATGGCCATCGTATTAGTATGCTAATCCGAACCAAGCCGCTCACATCGTGGCGGGAGCTCCATGAAATATGTCATTTACGGTGTTTGGAGATCAAGCTGTGGTTCCAAATACATATCCACGGGGGCATGAATATGTACGCTAGTGATTACACTCATCTACACTCGTAAAAATGTTAAATTAGTTTTCAAATGGTCAGTTTATCATCGAAAACAACTATTTTTTTGATTTAAAAAAAAACGTGCCGTTTTCCCATCAAAACCAGAGGTAAAAGGTCGTGCTGGAACATCGGCAAATCTCCTCCGTGTTGATAATTTGAACACATTGGCATCACCCAGTATTTTGATTGGCTGATTAGCGATTTCACCTATCAGGTGTCGAGCATCTGCATGCGACCGGTACAAACATGTTAACAGCAACATTATCAGGGAAAGTCTCCAATATGAAACCAGCTTTCCAGGTCACTTTCTGTCCAGACATTCGGTCATCTTTTTTTAAAATGTCAACTCTGAACTGCCACCAAGTACAGCCATCTTTTTATGCTAAACAACTGCATATGTTAATATAATTAAAATTATGCTATGACGATTGCTATATGCCAACAAGCAACATTGTGCATTATATTATTTTTAATTTAAAATAATGACTAATGTATTGAGGCGCAATTATTTCTGTTTTTTATTTCAATGTATGTTGATGTTTGGTAAAAATATTCCTCAAATAGTTATAGTGAAACGGTACAAATTTCATTTGCCGTAGAATTCATCATATTTTCTATAAAGAGGATGCTGGGTAATCTGCAAAACAATGTATTGGTAATGTGCAGCTATTTTGCTTCATATTTTGAGAATTTCGATATAAAGCCATACATGAACGTAATAATAAATGAACTTCTACTATTAGTGTTGGATACATCATGTATATTTAAATACCTTTGCCAAGAAAACTGTTTTTAGTACATTTGTATGGCTGTCTCACTGTAAACCAGATAAGTGAAAAGTTGTATATTTTATTTTAAGATATTCCCATAAATCATGTAACATTTTCGATTGCTTAATATTCTTAATAATTGAGGTTACATTTACCAACCGCCTAGAAAATGTCAACAACTTGCTTATAAACCATAATGCTGCTTGCAGCTTTAATTATTACTGTTTATTTTTAAATGAAATTAATTGATCACAAAATAACAAACGGCAGATTGTTTTATTCAGAAAACACGAAAAATTAGAATAGATGAGGGAATAACAAAATAGAGGTCATTTGCGATGGCACTTTGTTCACTCTTCTGACAAGAATCATAGGTGTAAATTTAGAGACTTTGCTAATCATTTAAATGTGTTGTCATTTTGATTGCTACAGTATTACGTTTCATATAAGAGAGAAAATGTACTTCAGAGTTCAATAAGAGCCCTTTTTTGAATTTCCTTATGAAAAGTTATGAATACCAGTCGTTTTGCTCAATTTAATCAATTAATTCATAAAGGAACAGATTGGACTTAGTACTATGAAAATGATTGTTACTGAAACAATATATTTTAAAATTATTTTGGGGGATTTTACAGATTCCGTCACAATCGATGGAAACTGTGGTTTCTGGAAATTATAATTTGCGTTATTTTCTTTTATGTTATTATAGGGGCTGGTAGATTTCCTTTCGCCAATGATGACGAGGAGCGTCCCATCACACGACTTTCATGACGTCACAGTTCTGAAAACGACCAACGTAACCTATATTCAAAATAAAACACGAGTGGCACACATGTCTGCTGTGAAACAAGAATTAGAAGGAAACGTGCATGTTAAAACAGACGATCCTCTGTCGCTCGAACTACAGAAGGTAACAGTGTGCATATATGTATATATGTAATATCACGATGTTTAGTAAATTTGACAAAGATATATGAGTGTTTTATTTGACAGATTCATCCTGATCCTGACGCAAATAACAGAACAGTACGAAATATACTACCGCCCGACGACCATGCAAAAACCACCGTAAAACCCACAAGGGCTGCAATACATAAACTGTTAGGAAATGTGAAGGAAGGCGGTGAAGAACTTTTATTCCCTTACATTGAGTATGACAGATTCGCGATGGAGTGGGTAAACGTAGTTGATGAACTTGAATGGGTGCATAAAAATAGTAATGACAAAAGTATACACACCTCTAGTTCGCCATTTGAGTTTGGTATTGGCACATTGACACCAACGTCTGCCAACAAGACAAGGTAATAGATTGGTATGCTAATATATGTTTGTCGTATTGATAAAATAGATGCAGTATGTACTTATATTTGTAGCTCGTATCTGCCTAATTATTAGGCATTCACAAGGTTGGCATTTGGATTATGTGCATATATGTGCATTTATTCAGGACCAGAGCAGTATTTTGTTTCAAGGTGAACCGTGTCTAACCGTGCTTCGAGATTATTATGGAGTAGATGGAGGTAATCCACACAAAATGAATGATGACAAGTAACTTGTTATTGAATTAAAAAAATAGTACTAAGTATGTTTATTAAACAATCAACAATATTTGTACTTTAACTAATTGAAAGTTGGAGATCACTGAAAAAAATGTGTTCGTGTTGTCTTTAACATATTTGACCAAAACTGCGGAAATAAATACCCAATATTTAGAAAAGGTTGTGTTTTCTTTTTCAGGCTGAAAATTCAGGGGGACAAAAATAAATTAGTCAAAGGTAGCTATATTTCTGTTTTAATCGAAACTCGCGATGACAATGATCGTAAAAGAATTCGGGGAGGTGACTTCTTTACGGCTGTTATGACTAATACCGCACTGAAGAAAAGCACAGCCGGGAGAATCAAAGACTATGGCAACGGAACATATGCAGTGTATTTCTATGCAGCCTGGTCTGGACAAGCACATGTTACAATTAAACTCTCGTACACTAGAGAAGCCATTAACTACCTTAAGGACACAATGAAAACAAAAGAGGGACTGATGGGATTTGATGCTAATTTCACCAATGGCAAAATTTCGGAGTCGAGTCGCTGTTCACTCATCAACGAAGGAGTGTGGCACAATATGTGTGAATATACTAATGCTAACTCCTTAGGTAAAACGGTACTTCTTTGTATCAAACCATTACGTCTTGAGTGCAGCGATCTATATTCCATGTGGACGGGTGTTGGAAATATGAATAACGACATTAAGAAGGAGGGCATACAAAGCACATACCTTTTTGACGGGTGAGTACATTACGACGAAAGTATTTAATAGTGCGTCTAGTGAAAACACCAGTCTTTAATACATCCGTACAGAGTCACAATGGGAATTGGGTAACGCTAACAATGACAGGCATAGATAACTTTCAACTTAAGAACACGTCAAAGTAATACAATGTGTTATTAGGGTTTCGATCCCCATGTGACGAAAAAAAGGTCGAAACCATGTTGTAATTGTTCCGTTTATTATGGTCGAGCTCAATTTAATGATTGTGGTTGTTTCGTTTATTATTATTATTATTATGGTTTCACCATTTCGTAATTGCACTGTTTATTATTATTACGGATCAGGTCGAACCCATTTTGTAATTGTTTCGTTTATTAGGCTTTCAAGGCCCATCGGGTTGTACAAAGACGCCAATATATTATTTCCCACTCATTCTGGTTAACATAACATAATACATTCATGGGTTACTCACAGTGTATAATACGAATGTAAAATCAAATTGTAAAATCAAATCAAACATTAAACAATTAAAATGTAACTAAATGTTATCAGTACAGACAAAAATAACAAGTTCTCACTAGATAATATTTAAATTATAAAGCCATCTCTCAGAATAATATAAATCGCCATAATACCCGAATTGGGAATATCCTAGAGGTTGTGAAATTTTATTGGTTTTGAAAGTTCCCTGAATTCAAGATGACGAGCAGATATCCGGTGCTCAGCTATATTGCACAATAAAGTCACTGTCACTAAAATAGAAAAACATCACTGCTTGTATTGTATAGACTACCAAATGATTTTACCGATCAGTGTAAGAATATGAAGTTATTACGATATAATAATAAAGTTATTACGAGGATACCTCAAAGTAATACACTAAGACAGCGGAAGTATCGATGCGATGGTGTACTGTCTGAGTGCATACTTTGAGGTATCCTCGTAATAACCTTATTATTATACATCTTTTCCTTCCAAGGATACATCATGGGAATGTCGAAATCCAAAAAGTTTTGAACAGAATCAGCGAACTTCTTTGTGTGGAGTCTGATCAAACCCTGGTGGCAGCCATGTTTTTTTTATTATTAGAGGACGCTTACGCGCGTAATCATTCCATATTTATGGAATGAAAATACCGCGTAAAATACCGCACAATTACGGCACGCTGTAACTTTACACTGTCTTATGTAATGTTTTACACAAATACCTTTATTAGAGGATTTTAATCAACCAGATATTAAGTAAGCTATAGAACGAGTACGTTCAAAAATTAATAGTGTAACATGTTCTGGAATATTGGTTTCTTATACACAGTACTAGGAACATTTTAAATCTGATTTTTAGAAATTTACCAGGAGGTTTCTCAAATATGGAAACTTTTGAGAACATTTTATAAACGAATCACTAAATTGCTAAATGTAATTTGAAAGTAAAATGTGTCAGAAAAGTAAATAATCTTCGATATGTATACAATTTCAAGCAGTCAGACAGGAATGATCTCAGAAGTACAGTTAATGAGATGGGTTATTAGGCAGTATCAGTCAATAAGAAACAAATGTCGATAACGTTTTAGATTGTTGGATCTATTTAGTCAATAGTACAATTAATAAATATATTGTATATAATTACATAACATAAACCATTCATTGATGGTGATGTAATTCATTTATCTCACAAAAAGAGGAGAAAATTCGGAAAGAATACAAATTCTGCCAATGATTGAGTGATGTGTAGACAGATGCGTAAATAACCCATAATTAGTTATGAAGTATTATAATTACATACAAGGAATGGCAGTTAACAGTCCTAACAAAACGCACTTGGAGTTGTTAAAGATCTGAATTCAAAACGAAATGTATGCCTAACATTCGAAAGGCCTTCGTCGGGAGAAGAATGAGGCTGGTCACAATGCCAGATTATTCAAGGAATTATTTAATACGGTTTTCAACATAGAGCAGTATTAAGCCATAATACAAAATAATCGTATTATCAATAATAATCGTGGTTATTCCGCTTTATGGGAGCATTTGATAGCTTAACTCACAGTCTTCTCATTCAACCAATTCCCCTTTGAAGACGTAGAACAGGGGATGTGATTAACGTCCAAGATTACCATATTTGGTCGGGATACCAATTAATATGCATGAATGCATTATCACAAGCGATAAGGTGAATACATGGGACGAGGGATATAATTAGCATATCTTACAGTCATATATATATATGATACGTGATCTAAATAAGCATGTACAACCAAAGACACTTTTTCTAGTGTCTTTGGTACAACAGACTGGCTATGACAATTGTAAAATGGTGTATGATGTATACATCACCTGCACTATGTACCATTAGCCATTATCCCTGTAACATGGCCATTGCTTCTATGTAGCTATATATTAAAATTAATTACTAATTGTTTTCTTGCAAATTTAATGTTGAATGTGTTTAAACGTGATGACAGATTATCCACACAGAGACTATTTGACTATCTCTAATACATGCATTGCCGCTGTGCTGATCTTGTTTATTATACGAATATGACACGTGACATAATTTCAAGATTACTGTGGGTCTCTATATTTATCTCTTGTGGGTTTGAGCAAGTATTATAATTTACTTGTTTTATTTGGTTCTGGTTGAATATTTATCAGTTGTTTGATGAAGACTTATTGTTTTCCATAATTTGTTGTGTCCCTGAACTTCGCTTCAATGGATATATGATACAATTTGCATGTGACGTTTTATTTCCACATTGGCATACCTATATATAATGTATTATTCACCCCGCAAGATTCATAATAACAAGATTTATCTATCACTTTACTGTTTAGTTATATTTGATATATGGTGACAATTAAGTCTATTCAGGTTTCCATGTGTATCTTTTCAAAACCACCCCTGTCTGGGCTTATAGTTTCTCTAGCAGAGCCTAAAACAACTATATATCTTTTCAAATTCCACAGACAATATAACACTGTGCAATTGAAGCAATCACCATTAGTAATAAATATATTGGGTAAGTGACTCTTATAATAATAAATCACAAGCCTTAGTTTGCATATTGTTTGTGTTCTTGTACGTGTATATTCTGATTGCAGAACCTAATGTGCAGATATACATAGTGTGTTATATGATCTTTTAAAAATTGCAATATCATGGTTATAAGTCGTTGTTATTTAAATATCAGATTCACCTTTAACCACGTTTTTCTATTTAAATGGGTCACTAAATGGTGAAAACGCTATTTAAGTCATACACTACACTCACATATCCTAACAACAATTCAACTACCCA